AGGAAAACCAGTCTTTGAAGCCTTTCCACCTTGTTCTTGGGGGCACATTACAAAGCAAGCTCCGTCATTACCTACACAGAAGGCTCCTGCTGTCCCAGAAAAGACCGTGCCCAGGGATTACTGTCAGTATTCTTTGCGTGCCAACTCACTCCTCTAACAAAAGTCTTCATCAAGGCATTTCTGTGTCTGCTCAGCTCTACACGTAACAAGATATGAATAGGGGATCAGAGTTGACTGAGGTTAGAATGTTTCCATTATTTTAATTTGAATTGAAAGGGAGGCTCTAACAAACATTGACACAGCCTACTTAGATAGTGGCATACATTTATAAATTTAAAAAAATGTAATAGTCCTAATGTTTTAGAAAATGTTAGGAAAACTAGGCACGGTGATCTGATTATTCAGCAGGCTGAGGCATGAAAACTACCATGAGTTTGAGGTTAGCCTGGGTTACACACCGAAATCCTATCTCAAAAAGTAAATAAGAACTGGTAAGATGGCTCAGTGGGTAAGAGCACCAGCCATTAAGCCTGATAACCTGAGTCAAACTCCCAGGACCTACATGGTGGAACCAGAGAACTGACATCTTCTGACCTCCATATACACACCATGGTATGTCCCACTCTGCACTACAAAAAAGTTAGGCTCTATGGCTTACACACTTGAGCTCAATGGGAGGTTGAGTGGGCTGGCTAGTTTTATGTCAATTTGTCACAAGGTAGAGTCAGAGAGGAGGAAGCCTCTCGGCCTCAGCATCAGCTCCTGACTCCAGGATCCAGCCCTGCCTGAGTTCCTGTCCTGAATTCCTTCAGTGATGGACTATTATTGTCAAAGTGCAAGCCAAATAAACCCTCTCCTCCCTAACTTGCTTTTGGTCATGGTGTTTCAGCAGAGCAATTATAACCATAACTGGGATTCTGAGGTAGAAGGACTGCCATGAGTTCAAAGCCAGCTTGGGCTACAGAGCAAGAACTTAACCTTAAACAAGTCTCAAATCTTTTGGTAAAGTGTTTTAGACCATCTATTCAATACGAATCTACCTAAGGTAACAATGAAGATGATAAAATCTGACTAGAGCTCCTTAATCTACCCAGAGAGACAGTGCTGGTCCCAAGCGACTTAGCATCAAAAGCTGAGTGTCTCCATTTACTAGCATCTCCAGATGTCTCTAATGAATACATTCATGAACAGTAGCACCCCAGTGAGGGGAGTCCTGCCTTCCTAACAGATAGCTGGCTACGACAGTGGGCTGCTGCCTACATGAATACCTCGTATAGAGAAAGCAATACGTTCTTAAGAAACAGTCGTAAACTCTGTTCCAAGTTTAGTTCTTGGCTGCCTGAGGGGTACATTGCATGCCTAGCATGCATTGAGGCCCTGGGATCAATCCCAGCACATCAAATACACAAAACCGTTTATAACATGTAAGTCAGCAAAACTGAAGAAAATATGCGCAAGAGAGCAGCCACCATTCTTTCAAGGGCACACTGAGAAGTGAACAGTTGGGAGTTCACATCTTCCATTTGTACTCTATATGACTATGATAGAAGCTACGGCAAAGTCTACTGCAATAACAGACATAAAAACCTTTGGAAAGCTGGGCAGTGGTGGTGCACCCCTTTAATCCCAGCACTCAGGAGGCAGAGGCAGGAGGATTTCTGTGAGTCCGAGGCCAGCCTGGGCCACAAGAGTTAGTTCCAGGACAGGCCCCAAAGCTACAGAGAAACCCTGTCTTGAAAAACCAAAAAAAAAAAAAAAAAAAAAAAAGTCTTCGAAAAGTATAGAAGACATTCCAAGTGGAATTTGACAGTAAGTTCAGGGGTTAGGATTTGTTAAACTTCAAGATGTGACAACTTCATTTTGATCAGAAATTAAGAATCTCACACATAGTCCCAAACGTGTTTTGTGTACTGCTCAGCAAATTGAGATATTACAATTGGTTGTCCTGATAAGCTCCGGGGAGGTGGGTTTGGTTGTTAGGTGGACAAGGGCTCTGGAGAAAGGAGAGCTGTGAAAACAGAGAGAGAGAGAGAGAGAGAGAGAGAGACAGACAGACAGAGACAGAGAGACAGAGAGAGACAGAGAGCCTGCTTCAATTCAGTCAACAAAAATGAAATCAAACTTTTATTATGAAGTTTTATATATGAAGTTAGATATGGGAGACCAGCCTGACCTTGAAGATTTTGGATGCTTCTTAAATATGGCAAAGAAAAATCTCTTGCTTGGATTACATGAATTGCTTTCATATAGTAAAATGCTGAATCGCATGGTGATTGCTTCAGTCCTGAGGTATCAAAGTAGGTCATCAGTCCTTATGGGACAAATCTGAAATAGGCTAAATGTATGACAAATGTGTCTTCTGGATACAGGGAAATGTGATGGCAAACGGACTCTGTAACTGCTAGGTAGCTTCAATTATAAAGGGACAGATAGCCATTTGGGCTTAAGTAGTTGAACATTAAGGGGTCAAGACAGACAGAAATAAAGAACAAATTATCACCTCTCCAAAGAGGTACTTGTTTTCTTTTTCTCTTTTCTAAGTATGGGTCATTAAAGTCCACATTTTCATTTTTCTTTCAAATTCAATGGAATTGTGAACAAGCAGCAGTGTTTAATAGCCAACTCAGATATTTCCACTGCAAGTTTAGAGTGAAAATAATTCTATAGAATAGCACAAACAGGATGAATTCCTGAAGATCATTCTGCACGGTGGTTAAGAATGTTTGCTTTGAAGTCTGCAGAAAAAAACGTTTCCCCAACAGTATCTACTTGAGTCAGAGGTAACCTATGGCAACACTTGATGTTACTGGGAGAATGAAAGGGGCCTATCAGTGTCCTTAAGCGCAAAACCCTGCTACGAATGTGAAAGAAAATGTGCCACTGGCCTCTGACTGAGGGCACTGAGACTGTTCTCTGGAGATGCCACAATCAATCAAGAAAACCAAGGCAGGATAATTTTTAATTGAAAACCCGAAATGCAATAAAGAAAGGAAGGAAGGAAGGAAGGAAGGAAGGAAGGAAGGAAGGAAGGAAGGAAGAAAGAAAGAAAGAAAGAAAGGCATGCTAGAACTCTTCTCAAATAATTTCACCTGGCACCCGATGAAGATGCCTAAGTAATAAAACAGTTTGACACCCAACTGAGTAAGTTGTAAACCGGGATGCTAAGGTCTCAACAGTGTCTACAGGCTCCTCATCCCAAGTGTGTGGGATCAAAATTACTTGCTCCTATATTCGGCTTTGGGGAGTCCACTTAACTCTTTTAGCCTCAGCTTTCTGGAAAACGGGATAACAAAACGTTACTCTCACAGAGTGATGGCGCGGGTACCGCACCGCAGTACTGCCCCCCCACCACCTGCAGCGGCTTGCAGACTCTGCGGGCCGTGAAAAGCGGATGAGGGCGGGCAGGGCAGCAGGACCCGGAGCCCAGTCAGCAGCCTGCTTCTAGAGCGGGACACGCTGGCTCACCCCTGCCCACCTCAGAGGTCCCCGAAGGAGACAGATCCGCTCATCCTCTGAGGAAGCGCCTTCTTAAAGCGCCGACCATCATCAGCCAGTGTTGCGCATCCGCAGGGCCGTGGGCCGCGCGCTCGCTCCCAGCCGCCGGGATGGGCGGATCCGCCGCCAGGTGAGCGTGAGGAGCCCCCGGCCGCGCATCCCAGACCACCACCCTAAGGAACTTTCTAGCACTTTCCACACCAGCCGCCTCCCGGGCCCCTCACCCCTCAATCCCGGCGACCTCGCCCTCACCTTGCTGGAGGTCCCGGTGGTCGTACCACGGCTCATCCTCTATCTCAAACTCCTCCACCAGGTTATCTGCCAGCATGTCGCCGGGGGCGTCCGGGGGCAGCGGGCTCTGCTGCCGCCGTGCCGTCACGGCCGCTGCCCCGGGCTGTCCCCCGGCCCCTCCG